CCAAAGCCTGCAATGATTTTTCTGTTCTCTGGAACCTTGTGGCATACATTGCCTGTTGATGCTTACCAAAGGTTTTTTTGGAGGAGCTGTTTCCCCAGTTGACATACAAGTTTGTCAAAAATAAGGATTGTGTCTTCTTTCCCTTTGTGTTCTTAGAGTTGATTGTAATGCCTGCCATATAGCAGGTACTCAATAATTGTTGATGCTGTTTCAAATCAGCAATAACAAGGCAATCATATAACTATTCAATCAACTATGGAATAGTGCTTACAGTAGAGCAAACATCCTTTGAGCACCAGCTTTGGGACAGGCATGCTTTTTGCCAAGGGCATGGTCGAAGATACATTTTCTGGATTTGGGCCTTCAGGAGTTCACAGTTGAGTGTGCTAATTCTTAAATCCTGAACCTTGGGTGCTTGTAAAAATGCAGATTACTGAGTCCACCTACACCTTTTGAATCAGAATCTTTATGAATAGACTGGCCATCTACACATTTTTACAAATTTTCCAGGTGAATCAAATGTACATTAGAGTTTGAGAACAGTGGGACAGCTGACCTTTTTTCATATCATCAGCTGCTCCTAGACAGGACATGTGCATTATTCAGTCAATTGGTCAAATAGCCCATATATCAGCTGCCTACTGAGTACTCTGTTTTCTTGGCTCTGCTTATGACAGCCCTCAAACCCAGGAGGGAAGCCTGAACTTTTGGCTCTCCCTATGCACTTTCATGATGAGGTCATCGTGAGACCACCACCCTGCCAATCTGCTGTGTGTGGCAACTTCTTCTTTCCTCCACCTTGGCACCGAAGTGGACACAAGGCATGGAATATTAATAAAGTCTTCAAAGAAATTTCTCCACACTTTAAATTTGCATGGGGAGAAAGAAAACTGTGTATTGGTATAATGAAAGTTGTACCTTCATTGGAGGACAGGAGTTGAATCCCTTTACTTCTGTAGGCCTCAGTTTCTTCATCTGTAAAATACAATGTTCAGTTAGAAGATGACTTCTTTTATACTCATGCTTCTGAAACCATCTCATTCAAACTTCAGGACAGTGCTTTGATTCTGGTGTGTAGACTTATAGGAGTTTCCCTTCCCCTTTGAGGATGGTACTGGCTCTTCAGACTTTGCATATTGAAGAAGCCTTATTGTATAGCTTGTCCTTACATGAAAGCCCTCTGGGACCTTTGATATATTCCATTTTCTTTTAGTATCTGGAGAAGGTATGAGGATTTTGATTTTCTTGATATGAAAAAGACCATGTTTGTGCATGTGGGTAAAATTAATATTTTCTGATTGTTTTCTGGTAACCTTTCTTATGAAGCCAGGATTCTTTTGTATTGTTTCTCTGGGCTACAGAGAGCCAGAGGGATATTTTAGGAATTTCGTTGGACTTTGTTTTTCATTTTATTAATTCCTTCATTCTGTAGTCATATATAAAGCTAAAATAGTGTTATGTAGACTAAATTAAGAACATGACATGGATCTTATCTCTCATGGGCATCCAAGAATAATAGTTGACATTTATCAACTCCTTACAATGTTCCAGGTCAGGTACTGAAAATTTAGATACATTATCTCATTCAGTCTTCACAACAGCACTCTGGGATATAGATTTTACTATTTCCATTTTACAGATGAAGAAACTAAAAATCAGCAAGGTAATGCCATTTTCCCAAGAGCACACAGCTAAGTAGTCTTGTAGAGGAGATGAGACATGTATCCAATGGTGGTAGAATGAAAGTCAATAGAGTGATTTAAAAATTTTTTTTACATCAGGGTTCACTCTTGGTATTGTACATTTTATGGATTTTTAACAAATGAACAATAACATGTACCCACCATTAGAGTATCATGCAGAATAGTTTCAGTACTCAAAATCTTCTGCACTTCACCTGTTCATCTCTCCCTCCTCCCTCACCCCTGGCAATTGCTGATCTTTAACTGTGTCTATAGTTTGCCTTTTTCAGAATGTCACATAATTGGAATCATACAGTATATAGTCTTTTCAGATTGTCTTCTTTCATTTGGTAATATGCATTTAAGGTGCCACCATGTCTTTCCATGGCTTGAAAAGCTCATTTCCTTTTAGCACTGAATGATATTCCATTGTCTGGATGTATCGCAGTTTATTTATCCATTCAGCCTACTGAAGGATATCTTGATTGCTTTTGCTTGGCAAGTTTTAGCAATAATAGACAAAGCTATTATAAACATCCATGTGAATAGAGTGGTTTTTAAGTACTTGCTATGGGAGACCAAAAATCAGGGATTTGATTTAGGCCTTGAAGGTGGTGATATTTTGCTGGGTCGACATAGATGGAGGGCCATTCTTGGTGGAGAGAAAAAAGGAAGCAAGTATTTTTCAAATGCTTACCATGTGCCAGGCAAACTCCTCGGTACTTTCACATATGTTAACTTATTTAAGCTTTACAGTCATCTCATGGAACATTCCAATAATAATATTCTGCCTTATTTTCACAGACAGGAAAGCTAAAGCTCAGAAATGGTATATACAACATTTCCAAATTCACAAAACTAGAGAAGTCACAATTTGAACTGAATCTGACTCCCAAGCCTATGCCCTCTGTTTTGTCCTACCAGGCTCTATTCAAGGGCAGAGAGCTTAGAGGAAATGGTTGGCTCCAGCATAAGACACAGAAGGGATATGTGTAGCAGTGATGCTTGACAAGGAGGTTGGTGCCAGGTGATGGAAGGCCTTGAATTGGGCACTGTGAGGGTATTTCTGGGCAGTGGGGTAGTCAGCATGAGGCGATCAGGTATGGAGGATGAAGGGAAAAGTTGTAGGAGGGCATGGAGCAAGAGGAAACACCATCTTATTTCACAACATTGCCTAGGCTTGGTGGTGTTGATGCTAGGAAGAAACTTGTGAGAATATGCAAATTTCTAATACTGGGTGACCTTCAGGAGAAGGAAAGGAAGCCCAAATCTGGAGTTGCATTTGCATCTACCTGAAAGAGGAAGTCACGTGTCCTTTCCTTGCTGCCTCTCAGCATCTTGGTCTCAGAATGTCCTCTTGGTCATTACTGCCCCTACTTAGTCATCACAGTATTTTAGAACACTAGGAAATTTCTTTTATTTGCAGGAACCTTTTGGAGATTTTGCTAAGTCAGTCAAATAATCAAACCACGAGAACTTTTAAGTCAGAGAGCTTTATGCAAATTTGGGGTGAGGAAGCTTCCTATTTTTCTCTTTTATTAAAATTGACTTAGAGTTGCAACTTTTAAAATTAAAATCATGAACAGTTAGTGCTGAAAGGGATGTCTGTGATCTTTGAGGAATTTTTAAAGAAGAGAAAACTGATGTCTAGAGAAGTTATAAAACTTTCCTAAGATGACACCATACTTGCCTGGCTGGCGTTAGGACCAGGTTGCTGCATGCTGAGCCCTGTGCTCTTTGTGCAACTGCGCAGGCTGCTTCTGACTTTAACAAGGTGGCCATTCAGGCTGGGACCAACCTGCCCAGAGAGCAGTGGAGGTATTCATTTACCCAGGGGATTATGGTGATCATGATTGGGTAATATGCCTTTTGAGAGGCCTTCTTCCAGAACATTGCCTTAAGCATGAAGGATACCAATCCAGCCTCACAAACAGTCCGCAGAGGGGAGAGAGCTGAAGACTGTCAAGTCTTCCCAGGTCAACACCTCTCCACCTGCTCACTGCTGACTAATATCCCTCCAGGGGCCCAGGCACTGGCAGGGCTCAGAAAGGCTCTCCTTCTTCCTACACTGCCTGTTGGTTTAAGCTTGGTGAGGCTTTTGATTTTATGTACAAGGGAAGTAGGGGATTCTTCATCTACAAGGGCAGGCCCCAGTGGAATCTGTTTGACTGCTGCTATGAGTGTGCCAGGAAAGTGGGAAGCAGGGATTCCACACCCCAGAGTATGAAAACAAATTCCTCCCCACACCTTTGATCAGGACATCTTGCCAAAAATAGCCTGGTGGGAGGAGCTCTTGTCCTTGACAGGTGCAGTAGGTGGTGGGTTTTTGTTGTTGTTGTTGTTTTCTATTTCCTTTTTCAGTAGGTAATACAAAATTTATAAAATATAAAAAAGTAAACCATGGAAAGTAAGGGTCCCTCCCACTCCTGTCCTCAGGCTTCCAGTTCCTTTCCCCAGAGGCAACATTATACTCTGTCAGATAAATTCATTGCCCACACAAACATTATCATTATTTTTTGACACAAAGGGTAATGTACTTTATACATGATTCTGCCCTTTGCTTTTGCTTTTTTCACTTAATATATTAATATTTTGGAGTTTGCTCCATATTGAGCTTCTTCGTTCTTTTAACCACCAAATTTCCACAGATGTTTTATTTATTAGCTTTCCTTTCTTCATTGTTTTACTTCTTTCTTGCTTTTGAGTACTCACTTGGTTCAGGTTAGATTTTTCACATGGTAAAAGAGCAGGGAACGACCCCACATTAAAAAATGCTACACGCAGATCTACTCATCTCTGAAGGATTAGAACAGTTTTTATTGCCTGTATGCCCTGAAAATAGGATACTTACTCCTGTTTTCCAGTGAAAAAGCGAGCAGTCAGAAAGCTTTCAGAATTCACTCCCAGTGCATTCTGGGAGTCTGTGGCCATGAAGGATTGATTGGTCACAGCCTTGTCCATGAAGGATGTCTATGACTGAATGGGTTTCTTAAGAAGATGACTGTTAAGTGCTCTGTTATCCAGAATGGGAAATTGGGGTTTAGTGGGCCAAAACAATATACCAAGGAAGAGTTTGGCAAATGAGGACAGATCTTACTTAGATGCTTGCACGAAAGAGAAGAAGACTCCTAACTTACCTTAAGAGATGTTATAGAAAGGCAAGGGGGGCAGGCAGGAAGGCTGGGTCTAATCTACATAGAAAAAAACAAATCTCTTGTCAAGTCATTCCCTTTACTGGCTACTACATTTCTGCTTCACAGGGTATGAATTCAGTTTGTTCATTTTTTTCTTAAAAATATATACTTTTTCCTCCTTTAGGTGCCATCTCAATACCCTCCAATCCAAAGTATCAGAGTACAGTTTACCAGTAAGTATTGTCAAAAGTTTAATTGATTCATATTGTTAAAAGAATCTTCTCTCCAGCCTCTTAATTTCTCCCAGAACACAAGATCTCTCTCTTTTCTTAGGGAAACATTAAATCCTGAAATTGTTGGAGGCTGCATATTGTTTTCATTAGGGACAAAGAAGGTGTATAAAGAAGAAAAGGGAAGTAATTAGTTACCAAATATGTGCTTGTCACTGTATTACTTCATATTCCTCACTTAATCTTCCCAGGAACCCTTTGAGTAGGAATTATTCTCAATTTTTAGGTAAGAAAACTAAGGCTTTACTTCTTACGAGTTTGTCTGACTGTAAGACTTGCCATTCCCCAGTAATTCTATTATAGGACGGGATTTTACCTTAATGAAAGTTGCGGGACTTGAAGTCAAGGTGATACTTTACCTGGAGAGCAGTATTTGGATCCATGATTAATACTAGAACAACCACCAGTAGTTTCTGTATGGATATTCATTTGTTAAGTCCTCCTGAGCTAAAGGAAAGTATATCTTGCCTTCTATAAGTAATCCTTACTTTCAGTTCAAAGTATTTCCCACAGACTTGATACAAAGCAAGAATTACTGAAATGTGCCCAGCAGTGCACATTTCAGTAAAGTACCTATTCTTTCCTATCTCTGAGGGACATGGGGCAGAGTGGGGAGTTTGAGATGTGGTTGCTTGACCATCCAGGATGATATTGAGGCTACCGTAGAAATAAAAGAAATTTGGTTTTTTGATTTGCACTTGAAATGGCCCCACACAAAGCTACGAAATCCATCATTCTGTGTCCTCCTACTCTTCCTTTTCTGTCTCCTGTGGCAACTACTATTCCCAAGGCACCTTCCAGGAAAAACTAGCAATAAAAAGGTAGAAGGGAGAAGTAGGTCTATGTTCTTGAGCTCTTCTACCTGCATCTTAATGAGCAGAATCTGAGCCCATGGACATTACTAAGCTTTACTTAGTATCACAGCATAACTAAGCTCAAGTGCCTGTTGGCAAAGGCCAGTAACACATGCTGTTGGTAGGTCTAGTGCCCGGGGCATGTGAAAAATTTTCATTTCATGATCCAGTGGAGAGAGGACAGAGAAGAGTTAAAAGCAACTGCTTTGCATGGAGTGGGTGTGCAGGACCCGGGCAAGGGGCACTTCCACCACCCTTTGCCCTAGTCTGTCCATTGAGCAAGAAAGGAAGCACTGAGTTGCCAATCCCTCCTGGTTTTGAAAAATCAGGGAAACCTTGAGGCTCCATTTCCTGCCACAGGTATGTTGTGATAACTGCCAGTTGCTATATTCTCTCTGCTCTTGAACCCCAGCCCCGTCTGTAATCCTCCTGGCTACTAGTATTAGCTTTGCCTCATCTATTCCACAGAGAAAGCAGATTCCAACCCTCATGGAGAAAAACAGTACTTTCTTCCTCTCATTCTTCTCAAAATCTCTCCCTATCTCCTTCTCTTCATGTGTTTCTAGACATATTGGAAGGCTGTTGCCCAACGCTGAGCTAAGGAATCTTTTTTTTTTTTTACCCTACCCTCCTTAGAGTGTGAAAATGAGAATGGTTTCATCATCACATCCCCAAACAAGGATGGAACCATGAAGGTGCAAAACAACTCCATCATCATCAACTGTGATGGGTTTTATCTCATCTCCCTGAAGGGCTACTTCTCTCAGGAGCTCAGCCTCAGGCTTCAGTACCGGAAGGGTCGGGAACCCCTCTTCTCCCTGAGCAAGGTCACATCTGTTGACTCTGTCACAGTAGCCAATCTGGCTTTCAAGGACAAAGTCTACCTGAATGTGACCACTCACAGTGCCTCCTGCGAAGACATTCAGGTGAATGGTGGGGAATTGATTCTCATTCATCAAAATCCTGGTGGATTCTGTGTCTACTGAGGACCTGATGGCTGCATCTAAGCCAGGCACCAACATGAATGCCAAACTGGGGGTGGACAGGACACAGATTCTTCCTTGGGAGTGGAGGAGTCATCCCAGCTCAGCCCTCATATATGGCCACTTGAGATGTGACCAGATCACTCCCTCCCCCACTCAGGGATATTTAAATCTTTATTTTATGTACCAATTAACTTTATGTATTTATCCTTGTATCTTCTAAATCACCTAGCCCTCATCCCTCAGGATTGCCTCAAGCCTGTTGGCACCTCCAAGAGAGTGAGAAAAATAGGTACCTCTTCCTCAGGATGTTGTTTCTATTGATCAGGAAATTATTGTAATACACTTTCATTATTGAAGAAGACACTTGACTACCATTTGCTGGATATTTGACATCTGGTACTGTCAAAATAAGGAAGACCAAGGAGAGGGTTTATGAATCTGCCAAAGGTGGTGGATTGACCCCCGGCAGCCAAAGGTACCTCTTCAAGATGAAATTGGTTGAAGTTTGCATATTTTGCGTAAATACCTCTCTCATGTGGCGGAGTTCAGAAGGAAAAGCAACTTGTGAACAGCTGTCAGGACTTGATGAAGATAGCTGGCTAAGGAATACTCTGTACTTTTTTCTTTCTTTTTCCTCCATTTTGCTTTCCCAGCCTCCAAATGTTCTTGATAGAAATTTCCTTTCAAAGAACCATCTCGGGGATGTGATGCTGTGAAAAATGTAATCAGTGACTTAAGGAAAACTGAGAGAAGTTTTTCTAAACTGGGAGAGTGAGATAATTTATTGTGAGGGTTATCTTTATCACTCAGGAGAGCTGTGAAACTGGACCTCTCAGAGTAACACTCAGTGGGAATTTAAACTGTCTGGGAAGGAAATCCCATTTTTTGCCACAGAGAGACGAAGTAGGACATGCCCATCCTCCTGCTTAGTCTGAGCTACATACTCAGCCCCACACCTTGTACTCATGGACCACCTTGTCTCAAAAAAAAAAAAATGAAGCAATTCTATGATCAATTGCAACTTTATGTCAAAAAGACATTGAGATGCCATAATGTCTTTTCATAAAGACATAAATAATGTCTTTTCATAAGACAAAAATTTTTGTCTTATGTCAAAAAGACATTGAGACGCCATTACATCTTATGAAAAGTAATGATCTCTGTCTAGTAACACCATAATATCACATATGATCTCACATTGATAGTTGAGGGTAGAAGGACCAATAATCAGCCAATACCAAGGCTTTCAAGAGAATAAGATCACCTAATGTTTAGTTTAAATATCCCACTTAATGTATCTGGCTTATGGCATCGTGGACAAATGTGATTTTTCTTAATTTCCAGATGATTTGTAAGTTTTCTGTGTCAAAACTTTTACAAATTTGAATTTTTTTATAAAAACTTTTTAGAATGGTAGCAAGTGTTTCCCTGCAGTTTTAAATAGAGTGTGTGACATATCATAGAATATTTCTCGATGATTCTGGGTCATCATAATAGTTGTACTGTGGTGCGCTACAGTGATATCTTCAGGGTCTCCAGAAAGGTGGAAGGCAATTTGGCCCTATGCTAAATGGTCTCAATTACATTTGGATTTTTTTCTTGTCTGTTTGATACAATTATTTTCCATCTCCAATTAAGTGCCTGTCTGTCTCCAACTATATTCCCACCAATCAGTTTTAATCTGTTGTAGGCAGAAGCTAAATCAAAATTCTAAATAAAAAGAAGCTAAGTAAAAGAAACTGTGCATAAGGTAAGAGTAACCAAACTCTGAGTGGCTGCCCAGGTACTCACATAATTGTTATAATCCTAGGTAAACATCTATGGAGGGCCTGCTGTAGACCAAGCGTTAGGCTAAATGCTTTACATGAATTGGCCCCCCACCCTTCCCCAAGCCGGCTTGCGGGATCTTAGTTCCTGGCCCAGGGCAGTGAAAGTGCCAAGTCCTAACCAGTGGACCACCAGGGAACTCCCCTACGTGAATTGTTCTGAGCAAGATATTCTATGAGACCCGTCTTGACTACTCAGAGGATTTAAACGTGTGTGTGTGCGCGTGTGTACTTCTTTATTGACTATGTTCTCAAAGTCAAAGTTATTCAGTATTACTTATTCTAAGTAAGTGTTTATGAATATAGATGATATTTAAGAAAATGTATGTTTATTTTTTTAAGTTTGGAATTTCTGACGATATTTCTTCTGGACTACACATTCCAAGCCAAAGCTTGTTTTGTGGGTTGGTTGTCTTTGGTGTTACGGCCCCTCCTCACAGGCACCCACTCCCTGTGGGTACACATGGCCTGCTCTTCCCATGCTGGCCTCCTCCAGCCACACAGGGACATTTCTGCCATCCACTAGACTCACTCCCCCAGCTGCCACCCGTCAAAGTATGTGTGTCCTATGTAAATCATTCCTTCAAAGGGATAATTAACCTTTCTCCGAAAACAGTGGAGTTTTGTGGAAATGAAAAGTCAGGAGATTAGAATTCTAATTTTGACTCAGTCACTAACTAGCAAGGGACCTTGGACAACTAATTCCCCATTTTTGGATCCTGCTTTTTTCCTCCCTTGTTGAATGATCATTTTAGAATCTTATGCTCATAATGCTAACTGTGAATGTACATAGTAAATATCTATGTACTGGTTACTCTGAGTCAATATGTATAATCTTCTCTTTTACTGTATGGAGTTTTTTTTTTTTCTCCTACAAACTAACGTTTTTCCTCAGCCTTTTTGGTGATTCCTTTGAGGGCAGTTGCCAATTGTTACTTAGTGACTTAGTGACTGTTTAGGGAATGGCTTAAGGGATTCCAATCTTGATTCAAATTGTAATTAGTTCTTAAGCATACCAGGCAGGTCCCCTATTTTAAACCATAGTTTTGTATTTAGTGCTCTCCTGGCTCTCAGAGAGTATTAATATTAACATTAATAATATAGCTAATAATAATATTGATATTTACAGGGAAACAAATAAAAGATCTCAGAATTCACTACTGGTTAGAGTGTTGAGAGTTTTTATTTATCCTTCTCTTCCTTTCCGTGTTCTGATCAGCTAATTCCCCGGTGAGGGGAGGACAGGGTAAACTTTCTGGTTTCCTATCTGCCTCCCATTCCAGCCATCCCAGTTGTGTCCAAGGGATGCTTGAGCTGCCAAAGTCCACCTTTGCTTTTGAAAAGACATTCACTGGAAGTCCACAGGGCTGCTCTTCATGGTTCAAGAGACTGATACAGATAGAATTCTACTATGTACTGTTGTCCTTTCCCTTGGGACTCCTTGTCTTGTCTCTAACTGTGAGATGGTCTCTTTGAGTATTATGTCCCCTCTCCTTAGTAGTAATTACATCTGCAGTTTTATGTAGAAGTCCTAACACTTAATGAGTTTGTGTGCACAAACTGGCCACAGTGATCCCTGTGCCACCTGTGATGGTGTTAACTCTCTCCTTCCTGAAAGCTCCTCTTCCCTGACTTTTCTGAACTCACCCCTTTCTGCTCCACTCTTTGTCTTTTCTGAACTCACCCCTTTCTGCTCCGCTCTTTCCCTCTCTGTTCACTGCCTGTCTTCATCTCCTTTACCCCTCCTCCTTCTCTACCCATCATTTTTACAATAATGCTCTATAGAGCTCCATCCTCAGCCCTCTTTCTCTACAATGGGGGTCACAGTCTGGCAGCCAAGAAGCCATAGTCTGGCTTATGTATGTGTTCAATTTGCTTTTTAAGTTTGAATTTAGTTGCTTACACTTAAACATTGGGGAATTTTTGGCTTCTTTTGACAAAACGATACAAAACAGGAGATCTGGTGATGCTGGGCCCAGTTTTGACATGACAGGAATCATCTCAAGCAGGGTAGCAGCCTCCTTCTTTAGAGGGACTATGCACTCTCCATTTCTCCAGAGTTCCCCCCATTTCATACAATGTGCAAATGTGCCTATACCAGCTCACTTCACTCACTTACTGCCTGGCCATGGGGCATTTGAGTTGTGTTCTCTGTTCCATACACTTGCCAATTTCATTGATTCTTATGACTTCAACCTCTGCTCATATACTGATATCTAAAATCATTCTCCAGCTCAGATGTCTTGCACTCCAGAGTCAAACTTACTGTAATCATCTGTATAATTAGTAATAAATGCCATTCATTGAGTACTTATGGGCCAGGCATCATATTAGCCATTTTATATGAATTGTTTAATTCTATCTTCCTAACAGCTCTTTGCAGTAGGTATTATTATTCCTGTTTTATGTATGAAAAACTGAAACTCTAAGGGGTAAAGTAATTTGCCCAAAGACATGCAGCTTGTAAGTGGTGGAGCTCAGAATCAAGACCAGGGATAGTTGACACCAAAAACCATGCTTTTAACCACTGCTACCCTGCCTCTGGGAAACTCCATGTGGAAGTAATGGGCACTTTACTCAGGATGCTCACAAAAGTATGTCCTCCCCGCTCACCAAGCCTGCCCCTCCTCCTGATTCATGATGTTTAAAGACATCATAATCATTGCTGAAGCCGGAAGCCCCAGTGTCATCCTGTTTTCCTCCTTTTCCCAGTCCCCACCCATGAGCCTGTGGGCTATGGCTTCTCCTCATTAACTCTTCTTTAGACTATAGAGATAACCTCTCACCAGGCCTACATGCCTCAGTGAGTTCTCATTGGATTAAGAAAATGATACACTCTAGTTCAATAAATGAATGAGATGAATGGACAAAATGAAGCAGAGTGCTATGGTGAAAAGCTCATGATGTTTGGAACCTAGTTTTAAATCCTGACTCTGTCATTCTCTAGCTCGGTGACCTTGACAAGTTTTTTATTTTTTTAAACCTCTCTGAATCTTACTTTCTTTATCTGTAAAGAGGGGATATTAACACATACCTTCTGGGTTATTGTGAGCATAAGAGCACCTAACATATTGCCTGGAACATAGTTGGTCTCAATACTCAATAATTATTATTTTTATTTATTTATTTTTTCTGTTGGTTTCTTTATCTTTTTTTGTATTTTTTTAAAACATC